ACGTCTGGAAGCATCGCCACTCGGGGAAATTCTAGGAGTCCTACCGAGCCCACCGTCCATCCTGCACACCACCTCCGCGGGCTTCCCTGCAACCCCATACATCATGAGCCCCTCAATCTTGGACTCCTCGTCCCCCTTCGTTAGACTGCAACCTCCTCCGAACGAAGGGAAGTCCTCCATCGCCTGTAGCAGCTCACAGCACAGTCACTTACTTAATCATCCCCATCGAGATGAAAGTGGACAGGCCAGCCTCTGTCCCTGTCTTCCTCTGGTTCAAGCTAGCCACAGACATTCAAGCCACTTCCATGCACATCAATATACCGACTCCTCCCACCCTCAGAACAACCAGCCGGTCAGGTCAAGGTCATCCGGGCGGTGCAACAGCCTTCATTAAAGATGGGGAGACTCCCTCGGAAGTTGAGTGGCAGGCAGGTCGAGGTGGGAGGGTGAACATCAGGAGCCTCTGCAGAAGAGCTTGGCCAGGGGGCTTTCAAGATTATTCGTGTTGTCAAAATGGGAGCCGGGTTCACCCCAGCCGCCGTCACGCCATCTCCCCAAAGGCAATCTCTACGGGACTAAGATTTTTGCCAAACCCAATATCACCTGCGCTTATTATTTAAATCCGTGAATTATTTTAAAAACGCTTTAACGTTTAAAACATCAACTTTAGTTTCACTCTACATGGTAGTAGCTGTGAAACTGTGGGTTCGTGTGCTATTATCGTTTGTTTCCAAATACTAACCAAAGACAAGACGTAATTACTCGCTTCTGTTTTGCATTCAGCTGCAGCCCTTTTAAAACGATCTTGTGTATCACCAGTGACAACACGCTTTGGGAAACTGTCATCAGAATACGACGAAGGAGACAACTTTGGGTCATCTTTATTCACTGCGAAATGTTTAAATCAATTTCATTTTAAGGAAAGGCAGTGCTCCGGAGAAATTTGGGATTATCTTTCTCTGAAAGAGAAAATACGACCTCTCTATTGGGAAAAGTTACTTGATCTTAGACTATGAGCAGTTCGCGACAAGCGACTTAACTTGTCCATCTCTGCATCCTGCATGGTGATAGCTACGTCACCTCCAAATGTCTCAGGGCAATATCACCCCGGTGATCCTTCCTCCAGCTCTAGACCCCGAGGTTCTAGGAAGCTTCTAGAAGCCAAAGTCATCCAACCTGTCCGTGGAGGTCAGCAATCTGGGCAATCTCTTTGCCCTGAGCCCCCTTTCAGAGCAACAGAAGCCCAGCTTCTCAAGGAAGGCGAGAGCTCTGGAAATTCAGTTATTCAGGTCAACGATTACTCATCAAGCACTGGAGATACCATGCGAATAAAACCAACAGAGTCTTCGAATGGGAAGATGGTTCTCCTCCAGCCCTGTCCTCCCTACATCCTGCCCCAGGGTGGACCGACATCCCCAGAGCGTGACAGCTGTGCCTAGGACTGACCGGATGCCCAATGGGAATCCACTTCCTGAGCACAGCTCCTTGCCCACCTTCCTCCTGTCAGCATCCTAGATGTACGACCCAGGCCATAAGAATCCCTGGCCCTGGGGACCTGGCCTGGAATCCCACTGTCCACTCCCCAGCCATCCAGCTCCTCGGCAGTGAGTCCCGAGACCCAGACCTAGTCCCGGTGCAGCAGTCACCTTGGTGAGTCACTCCACCCCTCTGAGTGTCCCTAGCTGTCAAACTGGGATGTTCTAAGGCTGTTATGCCCCTGAAATTCTCCAGTCTTAGCCCGTGGCCGCCCTGAGCACAGAGAGCTCTCACCCCTGCAGGCGTTCATCTAAGGCTTGGCTGCCTGGAGGAGCCCCAGTGACTCCGGTACAGAGCGACTTCGTCACAGTCACCACCACCAGCCCCCGCCGTGGGCATCCGGTTACCAGCCCTGCACTCACACTGGGTGGCCGCTCCGCCGCTGTTATTTTTAGACTCCCCTCTCCTGTCCCTAACAAGAGCCAGATGCATCTGACGATTCCCGCCAAAGCGGGTCCCGCTGAAATTGCAGTCTGTAAGTAACTCCTGCAGGAAGCCAGACTCTACCGCTCCAGGGGTGAGAAGGGGAGCCTTCTCTTCCCGCCACCCCACCCCGTCCCCCGTTCCGTCCCTGGACAAGCTGAAGCCAACAACCGAGAGTCAGGCCTCTTGTTCCGTCTTGAGCGGCAGCTGCCCCCTCTCCCCATTCCGGCTGCTGCTGCCAATCGGCTCCTTTTCCAAACCCAGGAAGACATCCCCGAGCCCCTCCTCCCGCAGAGAGTCCCCCCACTGACCTTTAACTGCCTCTCCTGGAAGGGCTCTGCTCCCAGTCCCCATGCCTGGGACCCCACCGCACCTTGGGGTGATGGCTGCCACCACCCCAGCTCGGGAGTTCCCATGGCTAGAGAGCCCACCCTCACCTTGCCTTAGCCCCTGGAGCCCGTGTCAGAGGCCCCACTCGTCCACAGAGCTGGGCAGGGCAGTGAATACGTGTTGCAACACACACACAATTTTCTGCTCCCCCCGCCAGGAAGATGGCTGGACTCCTGTCCCCCAAAGAAATCCCGCCAACCGGCCAGCAAGCCACCACCATTCCATTTGGCCTGGAAAGGCATTCATATATTTTCATCTCGACAGACTTCCCTTCCTGGTCATGTCTGGCGGGGTTGTCTATGACAAAGGGCTCGGCTCCCCGTCAACCAAGAAGGCTGCAGAGGGCAGGGGATGAAAAGCAGGCCAGCGGAGCCCCTGAGACTGTGCAGTGTGCGCTTGGTTTTAGCTCCTGTGGGGAAGATGTACGTGAGAGGCCGAGAAAGGAAATGCAGATGAAACGTTGGCTTCCATTCCAGGAAGAAAGGGCCTTATAAACTACTCGTGTGTGTAGTGTGTAAGGGGTGGCAGGGAGGACCGGATGGATGTGAGCTGCGTTTGCAATCGGACGCCCTGTTAGCCCCTCATGAGCTGCGCCCTGGTCTGGAGCGCGGCCAGCCAGAGAGGGCGCGGCCCCTCCCCTCTGGGTGGGGCAGCACGGTGTCAACGCCAAGTCCGCAGCCTGGCCCTGCCCTCACACACCCCCTGGCCACCTCCATGGCTTTCGACACAAGCACCTGTCCCTGGATTTCAGGCCAATCGAAATTTCCACACTGGAAGGACACAGGCGGCTCCAGGCTGTGTGACCTGCTCTCCGCCTCCCACCCCGACTCCCTAATTCCCGGTGGGGTAGAGGTGGCTGATCCAAAACCCTGCAGTGGGAAAACAGGTTCTGCACCTTCCTGCCACCCTCCTGCCCCTCCCTCGGCTGTGGGCTTGGCAGCTGCCAAGGCCCCCACGGGCATCTGGGCCCTGACTTCCCCAGAAGGGTCTCACCCCACTCCCCGCGGGCATCTCCGGGTGGAGAAAAGGGGAGGGCTTGGAGGGAAGGCAGGTGAGGGGGAGGCAGATGGAGGTTCAAAGTCTGGCTCAGTGACCGAGAGACTGGCTTGCAGTGCCTGGCCTGGCGCTCCCCACCTGGAGCGAGAGGCTCCTGGGAACAGTGGAGAGCGTGGGCGCCCCAGCGCACTGCCAAGCTCCGACAGCTCTTTCCATCCTGTCTCTTCCAGACTGCTGGGGAAACCAGGCTTCTGCCCCTTCCTCGTCCCCTTCCACTTCCTCATCCCAAAGCCAGATGCCAGGGAGAGGCGGCCGGCAAAGGTGAGTGGCCTCCGGGATTGCTAACTGATTCGATTGAACAGAGGTGGCTGGAGACTTCTTTTTTAAAATCGTGGTAAAATATACATCACATAGTAATTTAATCAATTGTGAGTGTACAATTCGGTGGCATTAAATCTATTCACAATGTCGTATAGCCATCACCACTATCTATACCCGGAATGTTTCCATCCTGCCCAACAAAAACCTTGCACCCATTAAGCAATAATCCCAGTTCCCCTTCCCCCAGCTCCTGGTCACCTCTACTCTACTTTATGTCCCTACGAATTTGCCTGTTGTAGGTTCCTCACGTAAGTGGAATCACACACTGTTTGGGCTGCAGTCTTCAGCCCCTCTCCAAGGCCCTTACCTTTCCTCTGCCTGTCACTTTTCAGGCTGGTCTCCCCATTTTAGACGCAGATAAATTAAAAGATCACACACACACACCACCCCACAAACACATCTTTGGAGCTAGGAAGGGGGCAGTGCCCCTTTCCCCAAACGTGCAACTGGGTTGTCAGCGGTGTTTCGAAGTAAGGGGTGGCCCGGAGGGAGGGCTTCACTCTGTGGGGTCTCCCTCAGGTCCAGGTATCTCCGATGAGCCCCTATTTACGAGGCCCCCATGTCAGCCCAAATTAGGACCTTCCCAGAGTGTATTTAACACCCGAGATTTGGGAGCGTGTATAGTTGACACCCCACGATCTAATCCTCTCTTTCTCCAACCGTGGGTGGGACCCTCGAAGCCCCACCAAAGTGGAGAGGGGGACAGGCATCTTCCCAGCAGCGCCTTGAGGATCCTCCACCGCGCCAGACCCAAGAAAGTCGCTCCTCGCCGCTGGGGGGTGCAACCGAGCCCCCGCCCGGGCCGAGAAGGGTGCGCTGCTCCAGATGACCCACTGACCGGCCTGGGCGAAGCCCGTCCCGTCCGCTCGCTGAAGCTGGGAACTGTGCGCCGAGGTGCTGGGGACCCTCCTGGGACGAGGGGACTTGCCCTGGACTCCAAGAGACCCGGCGTGCAGCTGGCGGGGGCGAAGAAAACCGCCCTGACTCCTCCCCAAACTTTTCCCGCCCGCCCCGGCGCACAAGGCGAAGGAAGCTATCCGGGGGTGGGGAGGTGGAATTCGGGGTCCGAGTGAGCGCGGCGCCGGTGGGAAGTCAGTGCCCTCATAATCTCGCGGAAGAAGGATGAAGTTTCGGCAGGGAGGGGTGCCCCCCACGAAATGCAGACACCCCCCCTGGGCCCAGGACCTACAGGGCCCGCGCCCCCGCTGCCCCGCGCACGTTGCCCGCAGCCCCCCGACTTGTGAGCGCGGCCCGCGAACGCGACCCCAACTCACCAGGCGCTGGCGGCTGGACCAACGGATGGGCTGGGGCGCGAGGCGAGGCCACCGGGCTGTTTTGAAGCGCTGGGCTGGGACTGCGCGCCCGCCCTCCTCCCTCTCGGTGGTGCGGAGCCTCCTCCCCACGAACCCCTCCTTTCCCGGATCCCGCCTCCCGGGGCGTGATGTCAGGAGCCGGGAGAGAGGAGTGGGAGGGGCCGCGGGAGGCGGGTAGGGTACACCGGAGCGAAGGGCCGGGACCTGGGGGGCGCCCCCAGCCCCAGCCCCAGCCCTCCTCCCTGCGCTATCCCGCCAAGTTGGGGACAGAATCAGTAAAGCATCTGGGGAAAGCGGGAGAAATGGGAAGGAAAGTTCCTCGGAGCTTGAAGTCTCCCTGCGCTGCGCTCGCCCTCACGGGTTCCCAGCTCGCTCTTCTCTACTCCCCTCCCCGCCCCGCCCCGCCCCTCCCCTTCCTTCTCTTCCCCGGGGTCCGGGTTAAGAACAGGGTTCTGCTCTGGAATCCGACTCCTGTTTAGGACCCTTTCTCCGGCTCTTGTCCTGAATCTTTACTGCTTTAGTTGCCTTTTCTGGAACTAGAAGTCACATAGGACCGCTTTCCTTGCGTTGCTGTGAGACTTCAAAATGAGCATATATGCGTAGTGCCTGGCGCAGAGTAGGCAGGCGCTCAATCCATGTGAGCTACTGTTATTTTGATTATCTGGCACGGGGTCCTGGCCTTGGTGGGAGTTGGCAGGGCAACCGGGAACCTACTCTGACCTTTGAACTCACAGTCCTGGAATTTATTATCCCTGGATATGACATAAAAAGGCATAAAAAGGCTGCCTTTCTTTCCAGCCTCAGTTTCCCCACCTGGAAACTGAGAAGGCTGATCCGACCTAGAGGCTTTGGGGGGGTAGGGAAGGAGGCCAGAGGGCTCTGGGCCCCATCTGTGAGGAGGAAGAGGAAGGGGAGGAGAATTTAGTGTATTAAAAAATTGAAGAAATTCCAAAACAGGGCCACAACGGCATATGTCTAAGCTCGTAACAGGTTAATGTTATGTGCATACGACAAGAAATACAAGGCAAGAGACTTGTGCTACTAATAAGAGAATCAGAAAGCCTCGTAAGGGATACTAATTTATTGCTCAATAGCCGGACCAGCTGGGACTCCACGTTTCACTGTTGGGATGCCTGTCTTTTTTGAATCTTATTGGGAGCTCTGTAAGAGGACAGGCTTCTGGGTCTAAATTCCAGATCCTTAGGAGACTTGAGACCCCCTCCAAAGGGCCACCCCACCCCACCCCCCGCCGGGGCCTGAGTTTCCCAGTTGGTCCAGTGTTTGACCTGTTACATCTCTTTTCATTTTGAAATTCTAGAGTTAATCAAGGGTCTCATCTCCCAAGCAAGAGATTCTTTGTAGAGCTGGAGAGGAGGCAGAGAGGTGTTCGTTTGAACTGAGGAGGAGACCCGTATGAAAGGGGAGGAGAGTGAGATCTGGCTGCTACGGCCAAGCGTGGCCCACCCACCAGCAGGGACAGAGGCCCCTGCCTGTCCATGGCCATCTGGAGGACAGAGAGAACCCACAAGGCTCTCCCAGCATGTACAGTCCAGGTGGGGCTGGGGCAGGTCTGCCATTTGCTGAGCACTTACCTGTGTACCAGGTACTTGACAAACATTACCCTCAACATAACACAACAGCTCGTGAAGATACCGAAGCTCTGAAAATCTACCCAAGAAACTTACCCAAAGGCCCTATGTGAGGGATGGAGCACAAGTCAGAACCTAGACCCACTGAAGCAAACCCCATTCTCCTCTTCCCATTATAGAGCCATTTACTAAATGATGACCATGGTCAAGCCATTATTTCTACCGTATCCACATGCCACCGGAACTAGTGTTCACTTAATATTTCCCTTTAAATCAACTCTGTTTATTTAACTATATTTATTTTAAAAGGAAGCCCTATATTATGGTAAACAGGAAACCAGTGCCATCTACCAGAAATAGAAGACAAACTTACAAATCTAAACACTGCCCAAAGAAAACAGTATTCGTTCATTCTAGCCAGATACTGTTGCCGGAAAGAGCCCGTGAACCTGAGGTTCAGGATCTATTAAAAAGGGAGATCGGCAGGTGTAAGAGAGGTGTTGGAGACACGCGAGTCCAGGACACTTTCTCTTTCCTGTAATCAGAATTATCGCAAGATCACTGGAAAAGGGAATGGCCTTCCCGGTCTGTGATTCAAAGCTAGGTGACGCCTTCTCCCTCTGTCACCTAAACCACCTCCCGTGTGCCTGCTGGTGGGGTGTGCCCCATACTGGGAAGAACCTGGCCAGACACCAAGTTGCCTCTCCAGGACCCAGAGAAAGGAATGGATGGATTGCTGCTCTCTCTCATTTCAAAACCCTCTCCAGAGCCCCACCTCCCTGTGCCATTCACCTGCCAGGTGTGCCTCTTCATTTTCTCTCTTTAAATATCCACCTATCTCTCCAGTAAGACTGGAGGCAGAAATCTGCCTTCTACCTACTCGTATCCCCTCTCCTGGTGTTTCAAGAATAAACTTGAAACCTCAGCATCATGTGGGGGAGAAGTAAGAGTGTGTCTGATTAAATTCTGGGCCCCAGTTCTTCACCGTTCCACAGTAACGTATACATTCACACTCCAGATGTAACCTTATGGCGACTGGAGCAACCTTCCCCCTTTACCTTGGGCTAAGCCATATGACTGGCTTTGGCCAATCAGATGTTAGCAGACTTCACACACGCAAAGGTCTGGAATGTGTTTAGGAGGTGGGGGTTTGCCTTCTTGTGCTTTTGCCATTTCTATAAGCAGAATATGCCTCGGGTAGCCCACTAGCCCCAGAAAAATGAAAGATGTGGGGGTCAGAACTACGCTCGTTGACCTGTAGAACTTCCATCTGGGACATAGAGCATGTCTATTGCTGCATGTCACTGAGGCATCATGGTTGTTTGTTTTCGCAGTAGTAGCTGGTCAATAAAAGGATCATCTAATATGGGGAGGGAGAGAGGACTGTAAGAAAGGCATCTGAAGGCATGGAAGGCCGTGGAGAAGGCTCGGGGGTTGGTTCAGGGTTGGGCAGAGAAGGGAATCGAGAACTCAGTGATTTCTCGTGTGTCCTTCCTGGCTTGAACGTTTTAAGGTTCTTCCAGTTTCTTACAACTTGCTCCTGTTGACCCTTTCCTGTCGCAGAAGCAATGCTAAGGGTGTCCACGTCTGGGGCAAATCTGATCCCAAACTTGGAACTGTAGTAGAATATGTAACGGAGAAGAATGCGTGGACTCTCGTCAAGAAGAAGGGAGATCTAAAAGGATCCATAAAGTCGTGACTGACATAGACCACATGCAAGCACAATTCAGCCACCGAAACCTGCTTTTGGTTGGGGGTTCAGTTCAATCTTGACAGATGTCAGAGGCTTTACTCACTTCCATTCCATAACCACTTCCTTTGAAAACAAATGGGTGGGTGGGCTGCTCAGATGGCACCCGTGTGAACCTGCCTCCTGGGGTTCACGCCCTTGTGTCCCCCCCTCCCCTTGAGAGTGGACTGAATGTAACAACTGGCTTTCAATGAATAGAATAAGGCAAAAATGATGGATGTCACTTTCGCGATGAGGTTATAAAAACTGACTTGTGTCTCGTTAGCAGACTCTCTATTGCCTTCTAGGTTTGCGGCTTTTGCGAAGTGAGCTGCCGTGTTAGGCCCACGTGGCAAAGAACAGAGGGAAGCTCTGGCCAGTAGCGAGGCAGGAAGTGAGGCCTTCAGTCCAGCAGCCCCCAAAGACCAGAATGCTGCCCAAACCAATGAGCTGAGAAGCAGCTCCTTCTCCGGTGGAGCCTCAGATGAGACCCTAGTTCTGGCCAGTGCCTCAATGGAAGCCTTGTGAGAGGCCCCGAGGCATTGGATTCAGTTAAGCCATGTCCAAATTCTTTACCCACCAAAACTGTGAGTTCACAAATGTGTATTGCTTTAAGCTGCTAAATTTGAGGCCCATTTGTTACGCAGCAGTCGACAACTAATACAGAAACAAAGAAAAAAATGAATCTCCATTGGCTGAGACGGGGGTAGGGCTGGGTTCTAGTTGTGGCTTTTGTATTAGTCACAATAGGCTAGGTTATGCCATGATAACAAATGATTCCAAAATTCCTCTGTCTTACAACGTAATAAATGTTGATATATCTTGCTCATCTACTATGCCCATGATGGGTTGATTGTGACCATGTGTCCATATCATCTTTACTTTAGGATGCGGGCTGATGGAGCAGCCTCTATATGGACCACTGCTGGTGGAAAATTAAGAGGATGAACCACCCATTGGCTGTTAAAAGCTTCTGCATGCTCACGTATCATTGGCAAAGCAAGTCATGAAGCCAAGTAGCAAAAAAACCTCCCGCTAGCTATGTTATCTTGGCAAGTCACTTTGATTTTGGCTTACAGCTCTAAATGCTTCTGGATATAAGAATACAGCAAGCACAGTCAAAGGCCTCACAAGCAGCATTTCTCTTGGCTACTCTTCCAGATATGAAGCAGGATCCTCCAAACCAAAGGCCCTGCGATCAGCACTTCTAGGCATGGCTCTGCTGGTCGCCCATCCTGCCGCGAGAGACACAGCTGGGAAAGCCCCTAGTGCTCGCTGCATGAAGAGGCAAGAAATCTGAATTCTTGGAGTGGGATCTGGAAAATATGCTCTCTTGAGACCATTTCCTCCTGGTTACCCTCCTCCACAGACTGGGCTGGGGGCGGGATGGAGACAAGGGTTTCCAGCAGAGGAACACTCCCACTTAAAGCTGGGAGCTCTGGGTCTCATCGCTTCTCCCTGTCATAAAACTTCCTGCAAGTACGAGAAGAGTTCACAACCGTAATTGCCAAAGTCACGGCCAGAGAATTCCCAAACCTCTTGAGATACGGCCCATAATGATGCTGCAGTAGGCTTTCATGTCTTTTAAAGATAACACACGTAATGAAGGCAAGGGTACAGGGAGTAGAACGAATCTCAGGGGTGGTGTCTGGGTTTTTCCCGTTATGGAAATGTTTGGCATGATGACCCCAAACATCTGGCTGCTTGACTGTAGTTCCCAGTTTTCATCAGGAGGTTTGGCACCACAAGGACAGAGCTTCCGAGCTCTCCCAGACTTCAATTTCCCTGAAAT